GAATCCAGGAATGCCGTAGAATCCTGAAGGCAATATGCGACCACTTGAAACGTCTTACAAATTCATAATCCCCCTTACCCTTCTCGTATCCCTCCTCGTGGCCCTCCTCACGAAGCTCCTCATTATTATGATATTCCCACTCTTATCATCATGAGCATCGTAATCACAATCATAAGCATGATCATCATCATCATCATCATCATCATCATCATCATCATCATCATCATCATCATCATCATCATCATCATCATCACAATCGTCATCATCACCATCACCATGAATATGACCACCATCACCATGACCACCACCATCATCGTCATCATCATCATCAGCATCATCATCATCATCAGTCATCATCATGACCATCATCGTCATCATCGTCGTGGTTCATCATCGGTCGTTATCATCATTATCAGTGTCATAATCATCAGAATCGTCATCATCATTATCATCATAATCATCATCAATGTCATCATCATAATCATCATCATCAACAGCAGCAGGATCGTCATCATCGTGCTAATCACCACTATCGCCACCATCACCACCATCATCGTCGTCTTCATCACCCATCATCATCATGATCGTCAACAGTCGTAATCCTGATCGTCATCACCATCATCAACAACAACAAACCTTCCTCCCCCGCCCTCCAAACCATGCAGGGAGAGGGGAAGCAGGAATGGGGAAGAAGAGGAGCGAAAGAACAGGGAGACGGGGGGAGGAGGAGGGCCCAGGGAGAGAGATGGAAGGAGGAGGAGGCGGAGGAGGTCGGAGGAGGGAGGAGGAAGGGAGTGTTGAGGAGGAGAGCGGAGGAGGGCGGAGGGCGGAGGGCTGGCGGAGGAGCGCTCCGAGGTCCGTCCGCTCCTGGCGCGCGGGGGGGCAAAGGCTGGCCGCTCCGCCGCCAGAGGGGCGCACGGATGGTGCCCGCGGCACGCGAGGCTGCCGAGGGTCTGCGCCTACGCCTGCTGCCCGCGCGTTGGGCCCGACCCCGCAAGGTGCTGCTGCTGCTCGTGCTGCTGCTGCCCGGGATCTCCGAGGGTGTGACTTTTTTCCCCGGCCCGCGGCGTCTCCTCGCTGTCGGCCCTCGGAGGCCGGTTCTGGGCCTCAGGGCCACCAAAAACAGTTCGGGGGCGAAGAGAACTGCGCCCAGGGAGGGAACCGGAACCTCCATGGGGCCACAGATTGAGAAAAAAAGTGGTGTCGTCGGATGTCTGGGACCCGTCTGGGACTGCTGCCGCTTGCTGCTGATGCGACTGCTGCCCCTAAACTCACCTTCACAGTCTCCCTCTCACACACACACACACAAATACACACACATGCACTTCCATCCAGCGCGAGGCCAGATCCGCAACTGCGGAAGCGACGCAACTGGATGAAAATGCCTCGGATTGGCGAGAGTGCCAACGGAGGCGACTGGGGGGAACGGAGGGTCGCAAAGACCCGTGGCTCTCGAGCGCACTGGGACTCGGGTCAGTGCCGAGGAGTGGGGACGAGAGAGAGAACGACCGAGGACGGAGCAAGTACACTCGCTTCTCTTCAGCGGCGAGGGCCAACGCACAACGCGCTCGAGTGGCTGGCGGGCCGCGCTGGGGGTTGCGGGCCGCGCTGGGGGTTGCGGGCCGCGCAGAGAGAGCACGGGGCAGAGGAGCGCGGCCGCGGAGGCGGAAAGCGGGAGGAGGCCTCGGGCATCGAGAGAGCGCTTGCCACGAGGGGTGCGCGGGCGGCCGCAGGCACCGGGGCCCGGCGTGCCACGAGGTGCGCGGCCCGTCCAGGCTGCCTCCAACGGGGAGCAGCGCCGGGATCATCGGAGAAGCGGGCGGTCGTGCGCCGGGCGGGGGGCCCAGTGCCCCTGCTGGGCGACCATGCTGTTCGGCATCGCGGCCACGCGCGCCGCGGGGCGGCGAAGCAGAGGTCGGGCGGAGCGAGGCGCGCGCGGGCTGGCCCAGGTCACGCGGCGTGGAGGTGCTGGGTCCACCCACAAGGCCACAGGGGATGGACAGCATCCTTCGCGGGGGGGCAGACGCGAGGGGAGTAGCTGGGAGGGGCAGACGGGGAGACGGGAGGTGAGGCCCAGAGCAACGCGCAGTGCATGCGGCAAGGATGGGGGGCAGTGGCGACCCGCAACGGCGGGGCGGGGAAGTGCGAGGCGGCAGTTAGACGAGGGCCCTGGGAAGAGCAGACACAGGGATGAGACCGTGGCAACGAGGCGAAACGCAACAAGGAGGCAGGAGCGACCGCCGACCGCGCAGCAAGCCGACGACACACACACACACACACACACACACTTTTTGGCGCCGCAGCCTCGCGCTCAGCGTCGAAGCGTAGAGAGAGAGAGAGAGAGCCAAGCACCAGAGGCGCGCGGCCGGCATGTCAAAAGATGGGGCAGGGATCCACACGAGGGGATCAGCCACGCCATGCGCACACCCCGGCATAGGCAGCGAGGAGGGAGAGACTAGAGGGGGAGATGCGCCAACAGGCCAGTGTCGACAGCACCTGA